GGGTGTCCCCGCCGCGGAACGGGGTGTGGGGCTGCCCGGGCCCCCACCCAGGAGCACCCACTTTGGGTCTGAAAGTGGAGAACCCTATGCCGAGCTGCAAGGAGCCTCGGGGCCATATCCCTCCCTGCTTTGGGATCCCCCATGGAAGAAATCCCAGATTGTGGGGATCTGCTTTGCCTGCCCTAGACGGGACTCTGCCTGTCCTGGGCATGGGGGGGTCCAAGGGGGCTGACCCTGTGGGGAGGTGGCATAGGTGGGGTGGGTCAGGGTGTCCAGCCACAGTGGGACATGCTGCTCCAGGGTGGTGCGGGATGGGGTACGAGTCCCTGGGCACCTCATGTCCGGGGGAGCATCCAGAGTGACTCTTCTTCCTTTTCCTTACTGATGGTGTAGCAGAGTTCACGGGCCCCCCTCAGAAGCCTCCAAGACTTGGGGCACAGGTAAGACCTCTCTGGATGGGTTTACTATTGTCCCGGTCCTCCTCCTCCATCTCCACAGTCTCCTTCCTCCTCCTGCACCTCCATCATCCATTTGCATCTGCAGGATGGGACTTTTTCGACTCCCTCAGGCCCCAGAGGGTGTGGGTGGGAGGTGGATGGCTCTGTCCAGGGCCCCCCATAGGTCTTTCCCGCCTTGCCCGCTCAGTCCATCTGATCCCATTGTGTCCCCGTTCCCCAGCAGTCCATCCACCCAGCCCCCACCGCCAACCTGGACCGCACGGATGACACGGTGTACAGCAACGTCATGGACCTGGTGCGGGCTGTGCTGCAGCTGAAGAACGAGATCAGCCTCCTGCCCCCAGAGGGGTACATCCTTGTGGTGAAGGTAGGGAGGGGGCAACATGAGGGGAAACAGGGGAGGGAGTGGGAAATGAGTCTGCTGAGCGACTCCCACCAAGCATCCTTCTCGGGAAAGTCTTGCACATGTAGGAGAGAACATTTCCAATATTCCCAGCTCCTCCTTTAGATCCTTGGGTCAATGATGGGAGAGTTTCCAACATGTCCTGCTCCTTTGTTGGGTCCTTGGGTCAGTGATGATTTTTCAATATGCCCTGCTGCTCTTGGGTCTTTGGGTCAATGGTGGGGGCATTTCCAGCATGTCCTGCTCCTCCATTGGGTCCTTGGGTCAACGATGTGAGAATTTCCAGCATTTCCTGCTTCTCTGTTGGGTCCTTGGGTCAACAATGGGAGAGTTTCCAACATGCTCTGTCCCTCCACTGGGTCCTGGGGTCAAATGTGGGAGTGTTTCCAGCACTTCCTGCTTCTCCACTGGGTCCTTGGGTCAAAGGTGGAAGCATTTCCAGCATTCCCTGCTCCTCCACTGGGTCCTTGGGTCAACAATGGGAGAGTTTCCAACACGCCCCTCTTCTCCATCGGGTCATTGAGTCAGCGATGTGGGAGCCTCCCACCATGCCCCTCTCCTGAATGGGATCCATGACTCAGCGGCACAGCCTATTCCCATCCACCACATCCCTGCGCCGGTTCCTGGAGCCATCCTAACCCTTCTGCCCTTCCTACAGAATGTGGGCTTGTCCCTACGGAAGCTGATCGGCAGCGTCGACGAGATCCTGCCTGTCCTGCCCGCTGCCTCTCGCACTGAGGTAGGACCGGGGAGAGGGGGGAAAGGGCTCCAGCTTAGGGTCTTGTGCCAGCGACACCCCTGTCTGTAACCCCTGTGTGTCACGGTCAGATCGAGGGGACCCAGAAGCTGCTCAACAAGGACTTGGCCGACCTCATCAACAAGATGCGCCTGGCACAGCAGAACGCCGTCACCTCGCTGAGCGAGGAGTGCAAGCGGCAGATGCTGACGGCTTCCCACACCCTGGCCGTGGATGCCAAGAACCTCCTGGATGCCGTGGACCAAGCCAAGGTCCAGGCCAACCTGGTGAAGCTGTGCTTGGAGTGAGGGCAGGGGCGGAGAGAGGGAAGGAGAAGAGGAGAGGGACCGCTGCGCTCCGGTCGGCAGAGATGGGAGGAGAGCGTTGCGGAGGAGCTGGCTTTTGTGTGTCTCCCGTGGCCTTGCCATCCTGCCCTCCCTGTCCCCCCTCCTCCTGTCTTTAGCATCATCTCATTGGTCTTCTGAAGAAGGGAGGCATCTGGTGACTTGTCCCTGGAAAGGGTTGGGGGGGACCTGGCCATCGCCGAGGGCGACTTGAAGATCCCTCTGGCTCGGTGGCTCCC